TGCAACTATATAAAAATTATACAGGGTGGCGCCTCTCATACGACTCAGGCTCCAAGGAGAACGACCAGTTCGTATTGAAATGAAAATTTTGTGAGCATATGTAAAGTTAATTCTGCGCACGTTTTAAAAATATAGAGAGTTCTACAGGGTGTCCCCAAAAAGTTACACATCAAATTTGTGTTTTTTTGTAACGGAATACCCCCTTTATTAACTAATTTTTAGATTCTAAGAGAAAAATAAAGGTGTGTTTTATTAGGGAAGTATATGACTGAAATGTAAGGTTTTTAGACTTACTTAAGATTTTGAAGAACAATTTTAAATTTCAAGAAAAACTACCTAAATTGGAATTTACTCTATTGCACTTTAAATCAAATTAAAACCTGACCCATAAAGTTATACAGGGTGGGGCAAAATTAATGTTGAACATTGGTATAACCTGTATAACTCCTTTAATACCCACCCTGTATAAATCCTTTAGTTTAATTGAATCACCCAGAATATTATTCCGATATTCAATGGGAAATTCATGTCACTTCCAAATACTATTAAGGTTGCCGGCCTACCCCTCAAACAAAGATTTTCCTAGATATTTTCATTTCTATGATTTAGTGTGAATAGATCTTTATTATTTGATAAAATCTAGGGTGGCTGTGATATGTCTGACGTTACTTCAACATAGCTGTCAAATTAGTTCAACTTTAGCAACTAGTTATTATTTTGTGTCAGTTCGTCAGTTGAAACAAAAAAAAATCTAAGAAATTTTCCGAAAATAGAAACTTATCCTACATCAGAAAGAATTGATATGATTCTACTTTTAGATTCAAATTTTTGTTATATAATTATACATTTATATCTAATTTTAATTCTGTGATAATTAATATATGTTTTAAACGTATGTTTTTATTACAGTATTTTATACTACATCCTTTAATTTTTGATAAATTAACACAGCCACCTAGATTTTTTTCAAATAATAAAGATCTACTGACGCAAAATCATAAAAATGAAAGTATCTAGGAAAATCTTTGTTAGAGGGGTAGGCAACCTTAATAATATTTTGAAGATATATGAATTCCCCATTGAACACGGAAATAATATACTGGGTGTTCCATTTAAAATAAAGGAGTAACTTGCTTTTCAAAGTGATAAATGTTCAATATAAGTTTTGTCCCACCCTGTATAACTTTTCCTGTCACATTTTAATTTGGTTTAACATATTATGGTTATTGTAACTAAATATCAGGCTATACAGGATAAATTACAATATAGATAGCTGTTATTGAAATTTAAATTTTATTCTTCATTTTCACAAAATGTGAAATATGTCAAAATCCTTACATTCTAGGCACATGCTTCTTTAATAAAACACACCTTTATTTTTTCCTGGAATCCAAAAATCAATTAATATATAGGGTATTCCATTACAAAAAACAACTTTAATGTATAACTTTTTTGGGGGACACCCTGTATAACTATATATTTTTATAAAATGCTTTCAATTAATCTATATATGCTTCATTTCCAAGCCCACTCCCACGCCGTTTTTTTTTCGATCGTATGGTATATTCAATAATTGCATTACTTATAATTTATAACAGTTTATGTTCACTGATTCATTTATAATTTATATCCACTTAATTACTTGATTTATCCATCATAAACTTTGCATAGATAAAGAAATAACGATGGACAATTCTTAATGTGTTAAATTATACCGTATGATCCAAAAAAAAAGGCGTCCGATTGGCTTGGAAATGATGGTCGATGACATTCCCCATATAATTTTACATATCAAATGACAGCGATCTTCATTTCATAGCCATCGCTGACGCCGTTTTTTTTTCGATCATACGGTATATGGTAAAAGCCATCGATCACCATTTCTAAGGTAACTTAACGCCGTATTTTTACATACAAAATGTGCAAAAAAATTCTATATGAATGAACTCACCACAATTTTCTATCCACTTTGTACATAAATTAGGATCTCTTGACGCAGGAAACTTAAACATATGTACACCTGATTTCCGAGAAATCCCACAATTATAAAATTGGCACTTATTACCAGACATTTTAATAATAATTTTATTATCACTAATCACACACAGTTATAATCAAAGACAGTCAAAGGTAAATTACCCGCCTTTTAAAATATCCGTTAAAAACAAAAGACAGTAACGACATATCTAAATCTTCTATCTTTGTCGCATATGGTTCGTTCCTTTATTATTCCGTGATAAGGGAAGGAATAGAGATTTTCTATGATAAGTGGTAAAGCTAGGTTTTCATATGTACAAATTTGAAAAACTTTCCAGGAAATTCGGTCATATTATTTTCATTAATAAATTGTTTATCATAAATAAATTTATTAAAAAAAAAATTTTTGAACGAATATTCAAATTCTAAACGTTTCAATTAACAAAAAAAATTGGCCAAGTGCGAGTCGGACTCGCGCACGAAGGGTTCATTATCATTGAATGTACCATTCACACATTATCTATACAACATCAGACATTATATTATTGTAAACTTTTTTCCGATTTAGCTGAAATTTTGAATGCGCTTGTAAGTAATTTAAAAAAAATGAAGAAATACATTGCTAAAAATTGTATTAATCAATAATAAATAAGTAAAAATAAATATGTAAAAATATGTAAAAATAAAAAAAAAGATTAAGAAAAAGTCACCTTGCCTACGATTCGAACCTGCCTCACTACGTCTCAACGCCTTCAAATCCTAACGCCTTTAACCACACGGCCACTCGAGGACTTGAATATTCTGTGTAAAATTCTTACTTAAACGATAATGTTTAGTGAAAGTACTTTTTTATTTATAAACATTTATTTAATTCTGTTTTTAGTATTTGTTCTTATAGCGGCAACATAGATACATTATCTGTAAAATTTTCAACTGTCTAGCTATAAAGTTAGTTAATAAGAATTAATAGGTGTAGCATATTTCAACATTATTCACTGGTTTTAAAAAGATCAAAAAATATGCATGTGTGTTTATAGTATAAATGAATTGCTCCTTACGTTAGTTCTTATTGATATAATAGCAAAAAAGTATAAAGTATAAGCGCAATTTTATTAAAAATATGTTATTCTAAGTTAGAATAACATAGAGTTAAAAAAATATGTGTTACAATTTCTAACACATATATTTTTTTAACTCTAATGTTCTAAATTAATTGTTCAAAATATAATTGTTATTTTTTTCCTAGGAAAGATAAAACTTCATTAATTTTCATAAATAAATTTATTTCTATTAAATTTTATAGAGCAATATGTACTACAGTTTTATTTCACATTTTGTAATACTGCTTCGGTGCGGTGCCCCATTGCTATCTGTGAGTTCATTCAAATTATGAAAAATCACTACTGATCTAGAAGATAAAATGTACCTAAGTACCATAATATTATAATCAAAAATGACTAATTTTGTAAATTATTACCTATAATGGTTAGATGAGATGCATGTAAACTTCTTTAGGCTGGTTTCTTAAAGTTAGGTGATTAATTATCTTCGCATCGTCATAGGCTCTAATCAATTGTAGATTATTCTTCAATCAACCTGAAATATGTAATATTATTTACTTTATATCTATGAAAAATTATCATTTTCTTTATGAAAATTTTGAGTTTAAATTTAAATGTGATTAGAATAAATATACGTCACTAATTAACATTTTATCACAGGTAATATTCTATATTACTTTATGTTTACTTTTGTGAAAATATTACTTACCTATAATATTTAAACGAGTTCCTGAATGTACAATTTTACTTGTTTATCGCGATGCCGAGTTCTGAATCTTGTATTGGTTGTCTAAAACTGTTTGATTTTGCTTAGTTATATTGTATCCTATATTTTATTAAACAAACTCAAAATAATGTTTATAATTACCTTCATCAGCCTTTATACCATTAAAAGTCATTATTATCAGTTATTATTATGTAGTATGTAGTTATTTCTTTGAGTTATTTGTTGTTGTTTGTTTTCAAAGATCATTTTTGAGGTTAATATCATATGAAACTTTTCGTAATTAGGCAACTGGTAAATGACGTGTGACGATAAATTAATAAAATAATAATGTACGTATTAAGTTAAATATTTATATATTAATTTAACATCCGGTATTACCTAACATCCATATCTATTTCATGTTTATAAATTACATAATTTTTAATTTTATATATTCATAATGAAATGAAATATATTTCGATATAACGTTTGGCAACCACGCAACTGAAGTGCAAGCGACATCTGTGCAAGAGAAGCAAAACCTCCCAAAAAAGTTAGAAAAGGAATCTAAAAATTTCAGATTATTCAAACGTCACTCCAATATTTTTCCAAATTGGAGTGAAATTGGGGTGACAATTTTTAACACGTAAGGAGCCATCTGGATTATGTGTTATCTGTGATAAAACCCTTATAAGATCAAAACTCAACCTTCACCATATTGTCAAGATTTGGCATTATAGGAAACAAGAAATTACAGTAAATTAAGAAAAGAATATCAAAGTACACGATATTAAATACTAAATAATTTTGGATATCAAGATAAATCTGAAATTATAAAATTAATTATAAAATTTGCATTATTATTGATTAACACTGAAAAAAAAAATTTTCAACTGCAAATAATTCGAAAATAAACTGCAATTTGGCAACATCGACGATGTGCGCTTGCGTAGTATCGATGATCAAATGCAGCAAATATGGGCTTCAAGGTCAGCCACCAGATCCACACCTTCACCCCCAGTTTTTATTACTTTCTCTGTGCCTTTACCCTTTTCTTTACCTAAAGAATTTATCATGAATTTATTCAACAATCAGATGTAGTGTAGAATGTATCGCATAGGTGTATTGTTACCAAAGATATTTTTATTGTTACACTCAGAGTTACACTTTACTTGCACTTTACACTCTTTGTTACACTAGTAGTCTACACTTAGTGTGGCTGCACTGGTATGAAATTGTCAATAATGTCAATAATGTCAATCATTTGTCAATTCAAATTTCAAACTAACGGAATTGAAAAGGTTATGGACAAAAGGGACAAAAGTGTTTAAAATTTAAAAACAAACTTTATTTTTTATTAATATTTTTGATATACTATTAGTAGCAGTTAGTGGTGTCAACCTTTGTGATACTATGGATAACGAAAGAACATTTATATCAGAGGACTATGAAGGACTTTTACTCCAATATAAAAGTTTGCGACAAGAATTAGATGTGGTAAAACAACAATTACACGACTCAACCAGACAGGCAAAGTTAAGCGAAACATTATTAAGAGATTATCAAAGTGAAATTGAACTCCTTCAAAATGGTGATCGTAATGAAAAAGAAAAATTGGAAACAAAAATTGTCAATCTTGAGGAGGCAATTAATAATTTAAGGTAATACCATTTACAATTTTTTAATTTTTTTTTTAATTTTAACGCTATACAGGTTGGCCCATTCTGAAAAATTAACAAATATTGAAGCCAAACTAATAAAGAAAGAACAAGAGAATGAGGACTTAAAAATTGAAATTGACCTATTAAAAAAGTCAAACTGTACAGAAAATGATGGTGAATTATCGATGGAGTTTGAAGAAGTATTAAGTTTAAAAAGTGCGAATGAGCTTCTTAAAAAAAGTTACGAAGAATTACTTGAACACTATGCATCCTTACAAAATCAGCATACAGAAGTCGAAATTCTTCTAGAAGTAAGAAATTTTATTAGTTATTCATGGTAGTATTAATAAACTTACTTTTAAATTCCAGCAACATAAAGAAGAAATATCTCAACTGAAAGAATCATTAGAAGTGAAAAGAAACGAAGTTGCAGAAAATACTGTCCTAATAGAGAAACTTAATGATGATTTATTTTGTGTCAGGAAAGAATTAGAAACCTATAGAAGCAAACCTCTAGATGAAGGTAGCAAGGGCAATTCTTTATTTGCAGAAGTGGACGATCGTCGTGTTTATCTGCAGAAGACTGTAAACAATATGAAGACTGACTATGTCCGAATAAAACAAGAAAAAATGCAATTTGTTAAACAGATATCTCATTTACGCAAAGTAAATGCCGATCTTCAAAGTATGTGGCGGAAAGATTTAGAACAAATTGATGAGGATAAGCAAATGGTTGTAACAAGTTTTAATTAAAAATAGATTTTGATTTTATGTTTAACAGAAATACTTTAGGTTGTAGATTCTCTAAATAATAACTTAAAGATTCTTCAGGATATGATTGATGAACAGAAAGCAGAACTGGAACAAAAGGCGGGGAGGTTAAATGACAATTTATCACCAGAATATCAATTCTATCAAGATGTGATTAAAAGTAAAACGTAATATTGTTGTATCTTTATTCAATTACTGTTTTATTACCTATATATTATTTTAGGAAAGAAGTATATGACTTACAAGAAAAGTTGTCGAAAAAATCCCTTGGTGAATATTTGTTAACAACATCACTAAACAAAGCCAATAAAAAAATTAGGCAGCTTAAATTAAAAGTAATGGAATTCGAGGAACAGAGGCAAAACTTGTCTGAAGAGCAGACCACTTCTTGTGAGCCAATTGTTGAACATAGACACAATCCTATTTATGGAATTGATAGGTACACCATATTGTTTTATATATATTACGGTTAAGGTCTGATGTCCGGTTAATGTCGACATTACCTGGTTAATATCGGGAATAACACACAACAAAACAACCAAAAACATAACCAAACCCAAACATTAACATGTTAATGTCGACATCAACCAGACATCGGACTTTAAACGTAACATATTATACACTCAGATGCAAAAAAACGCAACAGCAAAATTTTTAGTCAAGTTTAAAGTGCCACATTTTCTATTTTAGCCCTATTTTCATAATTTTTTTACCAAACTACCTATATAGATATATCTATTTTAATTGGTAAACTCAGTTTTTAAAAAAGAACTTGTATTTGGCTTATTATACAGGGTTAATCGAAGGGTTGTTTTTACCGTAACTTTAAATCACCCTGTGCATTAATTTTGTGAGTAAATTTTTCTTAAAGTTATTTTTCAGTTAGAACCATGACTTCTAAGCATTTTGTTTTGTGGCACATATCAATACATGCCTTGGTTAATTCTTAAGAACCAAATGAATTGAACTTACCACCAGCAATTTGCAATTTTTTCAATAGACCATTCCAGAACATGTGACTTTGACAGATCCGCCATTTTCTCTGGGAGACATACAAACCATTAATTTGCATTCATTTCTTTGTTTTTAGTCTTTTATAGTGTTATAGACATATTTTCTTTAATTCCCAATTTTCATTATCATATATTGCGTCACCGACAGAAGAATAATATTAAACATTTTTATGTAAAGTGGTTAGGCTTTCGGTCCAGGTTTAACTCATGGATTGATGTTTCAGATATTATTTAAAATTTATAATTTGGAAACTTTATACTATTGAAATGAACACATATTAGTACGTATTAAATCCCATGCTAAAATGGGTCGTGAGTTACTATACGTGTTAAAGTTTGGCCTTCACTGGGAATGGGTATATCGATTGGTTGGAAAAAAGATAGGATGAAGGTCCAGAGATCCTCAAGAAAACCACCCCCAAAGGTACATTTTTTATGTTTTTGCAATTTTCTCGGTAACTATTGATTTTTTGGAAAAATATCAAGAGGCCTCATTTAAATAAAAGAAAATTTCCTATCGATTGGTGTATACAAAGTTCATAATCACTTGATTAATAATCGAAGAGAACGGTAATAAAATTAGGATAAAAATAAAAAATGTGACGAGCTAGACTAATATTACCTATATTAATAAAAATAGAAATTAAACTTCCAATGATCTGATCATTTCGAAGAAAAGTAACTATTTTGAATGTTTCCAGTTATTTTTAAAACTAATTTCTTCCTTTCTATGACTTTGCAACGCTGCTATAAATTTTCAGCCGCACCGCAGCGCAGTACGCAATCATTATCGAACGCAATAAGTTGAATGACCAGAGTAGACGATGACCAAAATCCGACATATTAAGCTGTATATTGAGTCATACAGAAAACTCAGATACAGCTGAAACAGCAGAAATCGGAATCCCTCAATACTTTGATAGCGTAGTAGTCCATGGTGGTGGTTTGATACATCTTTTAAATCCCACTTCCGACACGATCTCTTTCGAAGACTATGTAAACAGATGTTTTTTGACATACATATTATCAGAATTCAAAAACACCCCTCAGTGGCACATAACGTGGGATAACTATCCCACGGGATTGATTGGAAAATGTCAATTAAGTCGGACACAAGAGAAAATCGTGGTACCAGTGCCAGGATCAAAATCAGTTCTACGACGAAAATACCTAAAAAATGGTCTGAATTTCTTCGGAACTTGGATAGATAAGCAACATTTTTTTTTTAATTTTCAAAGAATGTCGGTTATTCTGGACTTTTTTGAAAAAAGGTAAAGAGAAAATATGCTTTATTTATCGAGATCTACCAGCCCTGAAAATATTTACACTTATTTAAGACTCACCCTGTATATTAAAAGGTCACATTTTACATAAAAAATCATATCGTGGGCGTACAGCGAAAATCCAGTAAGTCACATTTTTGGTTGAATTGGATTAAACACACCACTATGTCCAGTTTTTCATGGTCTTTTACATGAAAAACCCATTCCAACAAGTCCAATTTCGGCATCCTTATAATATAAGGATGCCTACTTAATGGTTTTTTCATGTTAAAGACCGTGAAAAACTGGACATAGTGGTGTGTTTAATCCAATTCAACCAAAAATGTGACTTAGTGGATTTTCGCTGTACGCCCACGATATTATATTAAAGATAACACAACTCAAATTAGCGTCGCTAATATATCATATATGCGATTAAATTTTTCATTTTCTTATAGTTTTAATTTTCTAATTATTTTTTTATTAAACGCTAACAAACCTGCATCTATTTTAAGTTTTAATAATATTTAGTTCTGAAAGTTAGTTCTTTCTTTAAGTACTATTATAAGGGAAGGATAAAATATAGATTAATTAATTCACAAAGATTAATTATGTACACAAATAAAAAATAGTAAGATTTCAGGACTTTATCATTAACAGTAGCAACGCTGGCCGTATTCCGAAAACACGTTGAGAAGACAGTTAGCAGGTTTACCTCCCATTCTAAATTTTTAGGCGGGATTCGTTTTGTCGCTTCTCTCGATTGTTTTTCTCTGGTTTTACTTACTGGAACCTTGGACTAATGTGTTTACATTTGGACAACGTGAAAATGAATTGGGTTGTGACCATTTCTGGAGGATGCATCCACATTATCCTAAAAAAGCGGATCGGCGCATCGGCGTAACGATCTTGAAACGATTTCCAGTAATTCTATTGGCTGAAAAATTCATCTGTCAGAAATTTTATCTGTCAAAAATTTCAGCCAATAGAATTACTGGAAATATATTCAAGGGGGTTACGCCGTTTCTAGGATAGTGTGGTTGCACCCTGGACTGTTACAGTAGGCGCGTTTGGTATTCACGATATCGATCGTTCGTTTATGACATCCAGATGTAAAGCCAAGCCCGCACTATAGACGGGTGGAGGGAAACTTGTCGGGTAGAGGGTGAAGGTTAATGGGTAGAGGGTAAATATACCTTGTATGCAGTAGTGGACGGAAAATTATTAAAACAATAACCAATATAATCAAGTTCATTTGCAAATTGTAGCTCCAGTGAGTGTCTTTAGTATCATGCCCCTTTCAAAATTTGCCAGAAGGTGTCTGCTCTGTGACAATTCTTATGTGAATTTTGTAAATATGGAAAATAAGAAGATGTGGGTGTATGAGTATAACTTGCATAGAGACCATGATGGAGAATTTTTGCGAGTTTACAAGAAAATGCAAAATTACCCTGACAAATTTTTTAATTATGCACGTATGAGTGTAAAATCATTTGATTTTCTACTTAATAAAGTTCAAGAAAAATTAGAAAGGACGTCTACAAACTTCAGAGAAGCAATTTCTGCAGAACAACGCTTGTGCATTACAATTTTTCTTCCATTTTTAGACCAAAACTACTTTACGCCTGGCTGAAAATAGCGAACACGACTGATACTCAAGCGGCTCGCTTGGCGAGTTGCTTTGTGGCTTAAGTTGGTGGGGGATTGCACTGCGGCTGGTTTGGTTAAAATCGCATGTTACGGAAACATACCTCGCGGGTTACTTGGAGGATCGCTTGGCGGGTCGCTTGGCGCCTCGATACCCACTACCCTTCAGGTAACTTGCACTGCGGCCTCAGCTTAAGGGAAGTAAATCTCAACCGTTCGGTAAATAAAATCATAGCAATCGGACGGTGATCTTTTTGCTCGGAGAATTTTGACGGAGCAAACAGATTAATTTGAATTAACGAGGTTAAATTTCCAAGTAATTACTCTTATTTTTGTTGCTTAATGCAAAACCACGTACAAAACTCAAAAAATAAATTACTGGTCCTTTTGTCTGTGAACGTTGAAAGATTTTAATTGGGAATTGGGATTTCAAACTTGTCACTTTTCCCTTAGCGATCCGAACATTCCAAACCGTTCGGTAATTTCAGGTTACTCCATTCAATCCTTTGATAAAAAGACTAAGGAAGGAGCATATCAAAAATCTTAGGTACACCGCGATGGGCCTCAAATATGGCCGACTTAAATTCCGGTTTATCAGTGCCGTTCTAATTTTATTTAAAAAATGTAAAACTATGATGTAGGGTAGACGTCGGGTAGACTCAATAATTTGTTATTTTATTTTACGTTGTGAATAAATGTTGGTAGTTATTAAAATTGTTATAAAAATATATAATTCTAATAAAAATAGATAAGTTATAATAAGTATTTATTAACACAAACATCCGATACGCTACTGAAGCAGGTAAGTCAAATTAACGTATCAAAATTCGTTGACATCTGATCTTTGACAAGTAGTAAATAAAAGCTAAAGAAAATATATAATTTAGTTAATTTAAGTGAATTTCATAAATGATCGGTTTACTACACGTATGTATATTATATAGTCACTTACTAGCAAAAAGTTGTTCCATTATTTCACTCAATTTTTGCCGAGATCTACCGCACGCTACACAACCAACTATTTTAGAGTCTTTTTCGATAAATCGCGATAGTTACAAATAACATAAAATAAGCTCCGTAAAGACTGACAAATCCACAAAATTTCAAATCAAATTCAAATGTGTCAAATGAATCGTCAAACAGAACTGTCAAGGATCCCCACCCTAGAGAGCTTTTTCCGCCCACCATGCATGAATACATGGATAGCATTATGCTCCTTCCTTAGTCTTCTTATTCAAAGATTCAATCTGTGATCACGTGACAAAAAATCCGTCGACATCTGGATGTGATTACCGAACTTGGCTTGTTTGTGTGCCTCCCAGCAAATATGACCGACCTGTCAATGACGTCATTTCTGGAATAGTCTATTATGGCTTTTAAGGTTATTTTTTAATATGACGAGGTATAATTCATATCAAATAAACTTTTAGTTACGCGATTAAGCTCGACCGGTACAGCGTTGCCCACTTTTACATATTTTCTTTTAATTAAAATATTTTAGGAAACAAAAATAAATTAATTATAAATATATTAACAGTTACTAATTACATATACAAAACTCACCTTCTTAACAGCATTTAAGGGGCTTAAAATATCACAACACAATTCATTTAAACCAAAGACTCGTAATACAAAACTAAAGTGTCAAAAAGAATGATAATGTCAGGAAATAAATAAATAAATGTGGCAACTTGACATTTTTACAGCAGAGCTACCATTTGAATCCGCAGCGGGAAATTTAAATTCCAGTTAGTCAGCCCGGCGCCGCATATGTCCATGGTTGGCAAGAATGAATTTAAAAATCGCGCTCTTGATTATTGCCTATCACAACACAATTCATTGTACCCCTGCTACCATCTGCCTTACACTTATTTCGACCAGTATGTCTAAAACGTTCCACTGATGAGTGTGTAGTAGGCCAGCTACATATTCATAATTTCGTCCAAGAGGAGCAACGGCTTTTGCAAAATCTTCGACACCGAAAACCCATATTTAATCGTATACAAAATGTAATTATCAATATGATATTACGAAAATATTCACTAAAGCCACCTCGTCATATTAAAAAGAATATCCAAAAACAATAATAATTGAAAAAATTGCAAATTGTTGTTGGGAAATTCATTTTGCTCTTAGAAATTAACCAATGAGGCATGTATTGATATGAGCCAAAAAACAAAATGATCAGGAGTCATTGTTTTGACCGAAAAATAATGCTTTAGAAAAATTTATTACGGGAATTATTGCACAGGGTGTTTTAAAGTTAAGGTAAAAAACAACTCTTCAATTAACCTTGTATAAAATAAGCCAAATACAAAAGTTTTTAAAAAACTAAGTTTACCAATAATTAAAGTACATATATTTATATACAGTTTACTAAAAAGTTCGTAAAAAAGACTAAAAATAAAAAAAATGTAATACTTTAAATTTGACGATTTTTTTTTTCCTTTTTTTGCATCTGAGTGTATTTACTTAGGTATTGCGAAACTATTAATAAAAAGACTTATTTAGAAAACTTTAGAATCTTTAAATAAATACATTATTTTAGTGTACCATTGCAGAAAAGTTGCCTAAAATCAAAAGAAAATGTATTAAGAGTTGATCAAAATGAAGAAACTTTAGATTTAGATACTTCAAAGCATAATCACTCAGTTGATGCATTTAACATCTTCCATAATCGAAGAAGCAGAAGAGAAATAGAAAGAAAAGAAAATTACGATTGTCCAGCACCGGACTTTAATACAGAAGTGCATACAAATTCCTTTCAGAGTAATGATCTAGATATCACTGCTAGTGTAGAAGATAAAGAAAATAAAGATGTCTATGAGAATATGTCAAATTTAAAGAAGAAAGGAGTTACTTTTAGTGAAGATACAACAGAGGGCTCAGGTCCAGCGCGAAGAAATTGTACGCTAATTGTTTCGGCCCCAAAGAAAATGTTTTAACTTGAGTCGCAATATTTTCATGTACCTATCTAATTTTATCATGTTTGATATTTTTTTTGTTAATGCTTCATTAAACAGATTTAACCAATGATTTAAGTTTAAATAAGACTGAATCTAACACCCATACAATTTCAGTTACAGAACACACTTAACTTCAGTACTACTTTATAAATTTCAATATTAGTACTATTTCATGCAGGGAGCTCCAAAGAGATTGCAACAAATGATTTTTTTTGTAGTTGTTGAGCAGAGGTTTATAGGCTTGGTGCATTCTCCGCCGGTGCTGCCACCGCCGGAGAATATCGTAAATAACGAATACATACACGGGTTTAAATGGCGAGTAAACGAAAAAATTAGATATATAATTATTCTAAAAGTGTTAGAAAGTATAATTTGTGGAAATTCTAAACAAAAAAATAAAAAGGTAAATATTTTGATATGTTCAGAGGGTCTAACTTGCATTATAATTTATTCTGTTAAAAAAAATTAGATGAGTTCAACTACGGTAGCGAGCATAGTTTGATCACCGGTTTTGCTAGTGGGGCATAATTGGAGCTATTTCGGTTATAACGAAATTTTTTAAAGGTACAGGGTGTCCCACTAAGAATAGCTCTCGACTGTATCTCGGAAAGTATTAGCCTCGGTATTAGCCGTAGAGCCTACGGAAAAGATATTTATAACTAAAGGGGCTATGGGAAATTACTGGAAATTATTTTCAAGTTTGTAGAACGGCCGCTAGAGGGCGCAACTGCTATGGAAAATAAAAAATAGAAATTTTACAAAATTTTGCGTAGGTAGGGGGTACTATAAATAATAGCTTCATAATCTTAAGTAAATTTCAGATTTTTTTTGTTAGAACCATTTTCCCCTACTTGCTAAAATAAAGTGGTGGAGGAAGGTTAAATCTGTTTCTATTTAAATGTTAATAACTCCGGACTGGATGATTAGAATCCAACAAACGAGGGCTCGTTTAAAAGAGCTTTGCTTACTCTATATTACACCATAAAAATAATAATAATAAGCTTTTGAACGTAGACGCTAGGGGGCGCTGTCTTACAATTTAACAAACATTGCGCGTTTCTTCAAAAAAATTAAATGCGATATATATTTTATTTTAGCTGGTAGTAAAGTGTAATAAACGCTTAAAAAGTCAGCGAAAACCGCATCTTGATATTATCAACTTCAAACCGAAGATATTAGCAAATTTATAATAAATACGAAAAAAACTAAGCCCTTAGTTATCTTATTTTTATAACACGGTATCAGTAGCCGTCTTGATTATACCCATTCTAATAATAAATAAGATAGAAACGATTAGTTTATTTTAAAATCGATAATTTACCAGAATACCATAATACCAGATGTATTAATTATCTAATAATTAAGATGATAATAACAGTAAACAAGAAACGATGGCCCAGTGAAGTCATGGTAGGCTTTGGAAAAAAGTTGCTTTTGACGTAATAGTATAAACGTCAAATTGTTATTAGATCAACATTTTGATAATCTTAGCAGCGTTTTTTATCTTTTGATTGCTATATCCACAAAGACGCTATTACGACAGTAGAATGTTTAATCGCTTGGCCTGCCGTTTTCATACTACGGAAAGTACGCATTGCCCTGTGTATCGATGAGGACATAGAGGTCGAGCTGAAATTAAAACAGGATAAATGTTTAGGTATATGTGCAGTTTGATCCCCAATAGTACCAGGGTATATAATTATCAAAGATGCATATTACATTTATAACAACGTATTGTTATAAATTACCTACTTGTTTTTCTTCTATCAAAATTCCTATGCACAGCAGTGCGAGCGTTAGATTAAAATCGGCGGTGGCAGTGGTATAAACCGCTTCTTGGAGTAACAAAGCCATTTTGAAAAAGCAATCAAAAGATGGAAAACGCAGCTGAGACTATCAAAATGTTGATCTAATAACAATTTGACATTTATACTAGTATGTCAAAAGGAACTTTTTTCCAAAGCCTACCATGATTTCACTGAGGCTTCGTTTCTTGTTAACTATTATTAACATCTTAATTATTATATTGTTGCGGACCCGTGTGAACTCGACCTAACCTAACTATATGTTCCGCCCTCAGATGATCTTAACATCGCATTAAAGAATAGACACCGTAATGATTCATTCGTTCGAGAAGAATCGAGTCCCACTGGAATGGACTAGTACATACGAGAACATTCGAAAACCTTCTCTATGCACCTAACGATCTATGGACTATTCTAGATTTCTTTTGCTGTAGGTATAAAAGCCGGCGGCTGTGGCCTAGAGAGGGCAGTTATAAATATACCAGTGCAGTTGACGCGCTAAAATTCAAAATAAATTCTTAGTTATAAATCGTTTGTAAATAGTTCTATAAGTCTTTTATCGTTATTGTTTTTGTTAATTAGTGTTTAAATAAATTGTGACTTTCTATCCACACGGAACCGACGAAAAACGTAACAATTGGTGTCAAGTGTGGCGTGTGTGATAGACTAGAAGAATAAAAAGACTGACCATGGCTCTGACAAAATTGTTGAAAGACTTGAAAGTGTCCGAACTGAAATGCATATTGGAAGAGAGAGAGAGTGCGAGACAGATGGAAAAAAAGCATTTTGCAAGCCAGTCTGAGAGACGTTTTGGTGGAGGAAGGTGAGGATCCTGACACGTTTTACTTCGAGCTGGAAGGTGACCTTGACTCGTCCTTACAAAAATTAGAAGACAATTTGAATAATAAAATCAGTGATAAAAGTATGGAAAATTCCCAGGATTTGCAAGAAATTTTAAATGATAAAATTAATATTTTAGAAGATAAGATCGCAGAAAATTCTAAAGACATACAGGCCAGCTTCAATAATAAAATATTGAATTTAGAACAAAGTTTATACAACAAGATAACAGAAAACTCCAGGGAATTAGAAGAAAAGATAATAGATACACAAGACAAAATAGCACAGATTGAGCACGATGTTAACAGAAAAATCGAAATTTTAAAAGAAGGAATAGCGAAGTCAAATTCACCAAAATGTCAAGAAACATCGGAGGGCCCGACACTCGTCGAAAATAAGTATATCTCAAAGTCAGTTATTAAGCCTCCACAGTTTGACGGAAAAACCGCTTGGGCCAATTATTTTTGCCAGTTTGAGGCCGCTGCGAGATCGAACGGATGGGCAATTGCTGAAAAGGCTACCGCTTTGACTGTCGCACTGCGAGGAGATGCGACTGATATCCTGCAGACACTGTCACCATCGGAACAGGGAGATTATCAGCAATTGGTACGACATTTAGAAATGAGGTACGGCCAAGCTCATTTGGAACATGTCTACCATTCCCAGCTCAAAAATCGTGTTCAGCAGCCTAATGAGACTCTAAGAGAATATCAAGCTGAAATAGTCCGCCTTGCTCGCCTTGCGTACCCTGCTATGCCCGAAAATGTTATGGAGCGCTTAACAGTACAGGCTTTTATTGATGGTTTACGTGACAACGAGACAAGGCAAACACTTCTTTAGCTCATCCAACGCATTTGGGAGATGCCCTAGCACGTGCCCTGGAATTTGAGGCCGCGAAAGAATGCTCTAGGTCTCTAGGATTTGTACGGGCTGTTGAGGAGAGTTCCGACGATTCCAAAGTGGAAAGGATTGTGCGGAAAGTACTGGATCAGTATATGAGCAAGAAAGGGGGACCGATTCGCTGTTGGAATTGCGGACAGATGGGAAATCGTTGCAAAGAAAAGAAAGAAGTGAAAGTCTTAAGGACGACTGTGGTTGGTGATAGTTGGCAAACCGAAGATCTTGCAAATGACCAAATCAGTGATCCAGAGTTGGGCTTGGTGATTAACTGGAAAAACGCGGACCAGAGACCAACGTGGGAGGAAGTTTGCAGATATTCGCCGAACGTGAAGTCGTACTGGTCCCAGTGGAATTCATTGGTAATAGATAACGGATTACTTCGCCGTGTGATTGAGAGACCAGAGGGACAAGAAGAGAGAAGGCAGATCGTCATTCCAAAGAAGAGGGTCCCGGAAGTCTTGACGGAAGTTCACAATGGAACCAGCGGTGGACATCTTGGTGTTAGCAAGACCCTTGGCAAGCTGCGTGAACGGTGCTATTGGGTGAACTGCACAGAAGACGTGAGGGCCTGGTGTAAGAAATGCGACGTTTGTGCTGCTATCAATGGACCACAAAAGCGTGGTAAAGCTCCAATTCGCCAGTACAATGTAGGCAGTCCTTTCGAACGAATAGCGATCGACGTGGCTGTTCCTTTCCCGGAGACGAACAATGGCAACAAATACATTGTGGTAGTAATGGATTACTTCAGCAAATGGGTCGAGGCCTACGCGTTGGCAAATCAAGAAGCGTCCACCATTGCTGATGCTCTTGTTAAGGAATGGATCTGTAGGTTTGGTGTTCCCATGGAGCTGCATTCAGATCAGGGAAGAAACTTTGAGTCCAATCTGTTCCAAGGCGTCTGTGAGGTCCTTAACATCCGCAAGACCAGGACGACAGCTCTGCATCCACAATCCGATGGGATGGTTGAACGCATGAACAGAACCATCAACCGTTATTTGGCCAAAGTAGTCTCTGACCACCAAAGAGACTGGGACAAATTTCTTCACCTGTTCCTGTTGGCCTATCGTTCATCCGTCCAAGAATCCACAGGGCAAACTCCAGCCAGCATCGTTATGGGACGGGAAGTGCGCCTACCTTGTGACCTGAAGTTTGGTTGCCGACCGGGAGAAGAAGTCGCCGGAGAAGATTATGTCCACACACTACGTCAAAGGATGGACGATATTCATCAGAGAGTCCGCCTCAATATTCAAAGTGCTAGTGACCGAATGAAGGAACACTACGACATTCAAGCTGAGCATGGAGGATACCAACCAGGGAAGTTGGTGTGGCTATACAACCCGCAGAGACGTCGTGGGTTATCTCCGAAGCTACAATCCTCGTGGGAAGGGCCATACGAAGTCATGGATAGGATTAATGACGTCGTATACCGTATCAGAAAATTGCCAAAAGGAAAACCGAGGGTAGTCCATTTCAACCGTTTGAGCCACTACCAAGGCGAAATAGAAGATCGTGCTGGGACCGTGAGAACCTGCAGCTTTGATCCCCCTGATTCGGAGATGTCCTTTGACGATTTCATGGCCCGATACAACAGCAGTGAGAAGGCTCGCTATGGTGTAATGGTGTAACCAAAGAAGATCAACGAGACCTCTTTTCCGTGCCTCCTGATTATTCACTCGCTCATTGTGTGGCCCGAGATTTGCGGATGTCCAGAGGAATCGCTGCGACGTTCAATGAGAAGTTTGGGCGTGTCGGAGAACTACGCCGACAGGATCCAGAGGTTGGAAGCGTCTTGAGGCTAACCGACAATGCACATGGTCAAGCAAGACACATCTTCTACCTGGTCACTAAGGAATGGTCGCCGAGTAAGCCGACTTATCTCAATCTATGGAAGACCCTGATTGAACTCAGAGAAGCCTTGCTAAACAACAACATTACACGATTAGCCATTCCGAAGCTGGCGTGTGGACTCGATGATTTGAGTTGGCGTACAATCCGGAACATGATTGAAGTCTTGTTCAGATTTACGGGAATCGAGATCCTTGTTTGCTGCTACAACCCAAAGCTGAGATCGGGAGAGAAAACTGTAGACTGCTATTTCTACCAGACTCTCAATGTACCAGGGGCCAGCTTTGCAAATACCTTCATTCACCGTGTACATCTCGGGACGTGCATGTACCTAAGAAGGGGGCAGTGTTGCGGACCCGTGTGGACTCGACCTAACCTAACTATATGTTCCGCCCTCAGATGACCTTAACATCGCATTAAAGAATAGAACCGTAATGATTCATTCGTTCGAGAAGAATCGAGTACAACTGGAATGGACTAGTACATACGAGAACATTCGAAAACCTCTATGCACCTAACGATCTATGGACTATTCTAGATTTCTTTTGCTGTAGGTATAAAAGCCGGCGGCTGTGGCCTAGAGAGGGCAGTTATAAATATACCAGTGCAGTTGACGCGCTAAAATTCAAAATAAATTCTTAGTTATAAATCGTTTGTAAATAGTTCTATAAGTCTTTTATCGTTATTGTTTTTGTTAATTACTGTTAAATAAATAGTGTTTAAATAAATTGTGACTTTCTATCCACACGGAACCGACGAAAAACGTAACAATATATTAATACATCTGGCATTATGATATTCCGGTATATTGTCGATTTTAAAATAAGCTGATCGTTTGTATCTTATTTTTTTATTAGAATTGGCATAATGAAGAGGGCTGCTGATACCATGTTACAAAAATAAGATAATTATAGCCTTATTATTTCGTATTTACTATTTTACTAGTTCGCGAGAAATCCAACTTTGAAACTGGGACTAGTTTTTAGTGGCCGGTGAGTTTATATCCGTATTGTAGTCATAGATTTAATTGTAGTACATTTTTAGACAACTTCTTTATTTTTAAGATTTTGATGGTCAAACATCAACAAAATATTTCTTATGTTTGGATTAAATTTTCTTGAAAGTAAAAACATAATTTTAAATTCCGTTACAATACGGAAATTGATTGAAGTTTTGTGATTACAGTGATATATAATTTCTAAGGTTTTGTAACAAATTGCTCGCTATTTTATAGCAAATGCAAACCTTAATTAAAGTACATGTGTTTGGAATTTTGCATGTGGCTTAACACGACAGGATCGGGCTAAGCCTTAGGGCAAATTTCTGAAATATAATACCGGGTGCGTCTTAAAAGTGGCTCACCCCTATAACTTTTTTATTTTTTCAGATAAAAAATGAGATTTGTGCCTACTTGCACCGTTTGTATAAACTTTGTTTAAAGGCTAAACAGTGAAATAAGATATTATATAGTTAATCACTGTTTGGCCTTTAAACAAAGTTTATACAAACGGTGCAAGTGGGCATTTTGGTGTGTTAGTATATGACATAAATTAGGGTTGATTGACGTATTCAATTATTTTCGGTCACTTCCTGTCTCACCGGAAATGACTACAACTTTTGATTTTTAAATGGCACCCTCGCTATTTTTTTACTTTATTCGATAGAAAATAACACTCTAAATAGAATGACATATCATATGTCAACTTTTGTCATTTTCGCTTTTTCAACTTTTGTTCAATATTTCTGACATTATCGAAATATATTTACTCATATCTTAGGATTATGTAAGGTGATCTAAAAGGAAGCCAAAGCTGCAATAGTATACGAGGAGTTCCATTAAAAAAAATCATCGCGATCCACTCACATTTTTTTGAGCCACCCTATAAAAATTAAAATATTTTGCTGAAATACATTTTTGTAAATATTTTAGGTCTGCACATAAACAACATTGTCAAGTTTTTTTATTCTAGGACAAAGAGTTGAGAATTCTAGGAGGTAGAGATGCTCGACGCACTATTGCCGAACCCTGTATATACCGGGTGCGTTTCAAAACTGGCTCACCCCTATAACTTTTTTTGAGATTTGGTATGTTAGTATATGACATAAATTAGGATTCATTGACTTATTTAATGGTTTTTGGTCACTTCCTGTTTCACCGGAAATGACTACAACTTTTGATTTTTAAATGGCACCCTCGGTATTTTTTTTTACTTTATTCGATAGAAAATTACATTCTGAATAGAATGACATATCATTTGTCAACTTTTGATATTCTCGCTTAAAAAAAATCGTAATTTAAATTTCAATCTAGAGTGCCAAAAGGCTGTGTTAAAAACACTAATTTTTAATCAAGGAGCCTTGGAAAAATAGCTTTGATCGTCTTATGTTTTTCGCGTGTTGTACCGGCCTGTTAAAAGATACCCAAATCGTATTTTTAGTCATATCTCAATTTGTTCAAATGGATCGAGGGTGGCTCATTAGCATATTTGGAATAAGCATTTTTTTACGAATAATTTGATACCACACACTTGGTATTTCGAGTCAAAATGTCTTTATGAACCACATGTTCACCACAATTTCAAATAAACCATATGCGAAAGTGTCAAAATTTGACATGTAATACGTCAATCTATTCAGAGTCTCATTTTCTATCGAATAAAGTATAAAAATACTAAGGATGCCACTTGAAAGTCAAAAGTTGTAGTCATTTCCGGTGAAACAGGAACTGACCGAAAACAATTGAATACGTCAGTCAATCCTAATTTATGTCACATATTAACATACCAAATCTCGTTCTTTTATCTGAAAAAGTAAAAAAGTTATAGGGGTGAACCACTTTTGAGACGCATCCGGTATATATTTCTTTCGGCCACACACCCGCTTTACCCGACCCCTGAGAGCGACCCGAACACTACAGCGTAATAGACTCTTAACTAAAAAATGTATTTAGTAAAATAATTTTACTAAATAATTAATTAATTTAATTAATTGTTAATCCCATCCAAAACATAAAATGTAAAAAATGCCAAGTCTCGCAACAATTCTTCCACTATAAAAAGTTGTGAGATCTCACTTAAAACCAAGTCAGTTTATTTGATTTGGTTTCTCTTTAAGCACCTATTCAACAATTTTGTTATAAATTGTTAGTATAATAATTAATAAAGAATAATCTACCATTTCGATTACTAAGTAAATCTGAACAGTGCTCTTAAAAAGAAAGTTTTTTAATTAGTATAAAATATCATATCGTGCAATTGCCATGTCATAATTATTACAGAAATAAACATGTCTAATATTGATACTAACAATTTATAACAAAATTGTTGAATAGGTGCTTAAAGAGAAACGAAATAAAATAAACTGACTTGGTTTTACATGAGATCTGACAACTTTTTATAGTGGAAGAATTGTGTTGTGAGACTTGGCATTTTTTACATTTTATGTTTTTTTTTGATGGGATTATATATACAGGGTAGTTTATATTATAAATGCAAATATTTTCAGTGATTGTAGATCTCAATAAAATAAACTATCTTTCCTATTTGACATTTTTGAAATATAAGTTCATGTATGTAAAATATTATTCCCTTGAGTACAGAAATGAACAGTGAATTAATTATTCATTATTTATTTATTGAGTTATTTATACAATATTTACGAGTATATTTATAAAGTCTATATTTCATAAAGTTTATAATTCAGGTAATTCTTAAAAAACATTAGCTTTATGAATATAAAATTAGACAATCCACCAAAATAATTAAACTGATTTGTTTTGAATTAATTTTTTGTTTAGTATCAAATATATCTTACATTATTAAATAAAAAAACTTATCCCTATGCACTAATAATTCAAGTTTAATACGTAGCAAAATTCTTTTTGTAGACGTACGAGTCTGCAATACGCTTTGTGAACTTCTGATGGAACTCTTCAGTCACCCATCTGATGTTATAACAATAAATAAACTTTTTACCCTGGAATTCATTAAGATGTCCTATTATCCTAACATACTTTCCTACAGACGTTTGGTCAAAGTTTTGCGGTACTTCCTGGTTGTTTTTCTCACCAAAAACTACATTCTTATACTTGAATGTTTTGGGTGGTTCGGAGGACAAGATAACCACACAAAGAATACATGCGGTACCATCATCTAAAGCCAGTCTAAAATGGTCGCCTTTCTTTGCAACCATCTGGATGCGTGCGGAGAACATGACTCGGGAAAATGGGACGCCATTGCATATAAATTTTTCACTTAAAGCATTTGCTTTCTTCATGTCAAGCAAGTCTCTAATAAAAAAGAAAGAGATGTTGTATTGCAGCCTACTAAAGGCCACTTCTTTAAATGGTTCTTTGTATATTCCAGATCCAGGAGCAGGAGTATTTTCCGGAACATCTTTGGGTAAAATTTTCCAATCTAAACCTGTGGCATTAAAGGACTGGTGTTCTTCGCACGCAGCTACTTTTACTTCGCCCCCTTCATTTACCGTAATGACCCATTGACCTTCTTTAATTATATCTGACAATGAGTTAGAATCATTTCCAGACATTGTACACGAGAACCTGTGTATCTTGTATTGCTAAAAATGTAACTTTTGAAAAAACATAACGATATATAGGTTAATATAAACAAACCACCACGGAGGAATCAAACCACTTGATCCTGAGGAGACTTTTTATTGTTAATCTAAGGAGACTAACTAATAAAATAATCTATTTTTGTATCACAGCCTTAAATAAATCGACCTTAAATTTAAACAGATATTAAGATAAACATCTACCTATACCTATACCTAACTACACTAACGATTTTTAAATATGGATCACAATATGGATGGAAATATGGAAATGTTCGGCTTCCCGCCAAAACTTTTTTCTTGATCTCTCTATCGGGAATCGAGAGACCCGAGTTCTACGCATGCGCAGTAAGCAAATTTCTGTTGATGTTGCCAAATTGTGCATGTCTATTATTTTGAAATTAGATAATGATTAGATAACAAATACCTAAATCCTTTCTTATACGCCACAAAATCTCCCTTTTTAATATAATTATAATTTAATTTTCTTTATACAGATTTATTTTTTCTGCTTTTTACTTTTTTTATAAACTTTATTTTTTTCTCCTTTGTCATTATTAAAATAGAAATCTTAAATATAGTATTATTATTAATATTACCTATTAATTAAAAAAAGCAATAAAATCTGTTAAATAAATAAATTTATTGGTTTGAATGAGAATAAAATACAGAAATAGATACTTGAATGTAGTGATGTGTCCGTATTTGAGTAACGCGATTTTGGAGCGGTATTTTTTTGTAACGTCGCGTCGTGTCGCGCTCCATGGCGAATTAGGAGCCTGTTACTGAAGAACGACGATCATAATGACGACAAAATTATAAATTATTTATAATTTGCAAATAAATTATTTATAATCGCTCTTGATGTTAGCTTGAACCGTAGTAACCGCATAGCGACGTGTTTAGCCTAGCCGTCGCGATTTCGTCGGTCGCCAACAGTAGTAACTGGCATTGGTATGTATTACTGGCACTGGCACTGGTATTTATTATTTTATGCTGGTATGTACGTAGCGTCGCGCATGTTCGCTCCAGTCGTCGCGCTCTTCGAGCCGTAGTTCCGCCTGTCGCGAACAGAAGTAACTGGTATCACAGATTAGGTATCCTATAAGTATACAGATAAAAATCTTGTCCCTAATTCGTGGTACGAAAATTGTTTTTTTATGACGATGTGCAAACGAGTCAAATTTCCTGTGCGCAAAAATAAATTCGCGTAAAATAACAACAAACAGCGTAATAGAGAGATATCGCTAAACCGAATAGCGTGCATGGACGTTGTGGCATGGACGATAAGGCCAGGTGTTATTTCCTTTACGTGAGGTAGTATTAACTCTCTTCATTTAAGCTACACGCACACTGGTGCGATCACGGCCGCGATCACGATCACGATCAGGGCAGCAATAAAGTGTTTGTACACTTAAATCCCTGATCGTGATCGCGGCCGTGATCGCGCCAGTTTGCGTACAGCTTTATAGTTATCGGATCGGAAATAATTCTGATCGCGTCGCGTCCGCTATTTAAACTTAACCTAACTTTGAATTTAAAACTTTGAAATTGTTTTGTTTACTAGGTATTTTAAAACTAAAGGGCTAATGTGCTTATTTCCAGTGCTTTATTGTTCAACGTCTGCCAGTGGGTTTAGGGCAACAAGCAACAAATTCTCTTAGAAGGGCTAAGTCGTCATAGCAAACCTAAGACTCTTTATAGGTTCTTTAGTATTGGAAGAGGGGGAATCCATATTTTGGGCCATATTTATTTAATTAAAACTAATCCCCCAGCTACTTAAATATCAAATTATCTAATAAAACCTCTGAATAAAACTAAAGCAATAATTCAAAACAATTCAAACATAACCTAAAATAAAAGATTTCGCCGGCCGGCTCCGGTTGTCAAATACCCGCACATGCCCATTTAAGCCGGAGTCTCATGCATACGAAATCCGATGGTACGACATCCGAAATTTGAAGTTATCGTGTGAAATAAAAAAAAGCCTGTCACATACATCCGAAAGTTCGTTCCGAAATTTGACAGTTTTGACATTTAGACTTGTAATTACTATGTGTTATTATTATGTATTATTCCATGTATTATTGGAGAAACACTTATAAAAATAACTTCCTCGCCAAATATCTCGAAATTGCCCAGTTCCCACTAAATTTGATTTTAAAAACCAATATTTTCAAAAAAAGTGAGGTTAAAAAACACACGATATCGTACAAAAGTTAAGCCGGAGTCTCATGCATCCGAAATCCGATGACACGACGATCCGACGGTGCTCCTATTGGTCGAAATATTTTGACACCAATTTTTATCCGATAATTTTAACTAATCGTCCGACGTCGTATAAAGTTAAATTTTGTTTAACTTTTGTACGATATCGTGTGTTTTTTAACCTCACTTTTTTTGAAAACATTTGTTTTTAAAAACAAGTTTAGTGGGAAGTGGGCAATTTGGGGATATTTGGCGAGGAAGTTATTTTTATAAGTGTTTCTCCAATAAAACATGACATGAATCTCTATTCAGTGCAGCATGAGTGCAGCAGAAAAATGTCAAAAGTGTCAAATTTCGGAACGAACTTTCGGATGTATGTGACAGCCCTTTTTTATTTCACAGCATAACTTCAAATTTCGGATGTCGTACCATCGGATTTCGGATGCATGAGACTCTGGCTTTAAACAAAATTTAACTTTATACGACGTCGGACGATTAGTTAAAAATATCGGATAAAAATTGGTGTCAAAATTTCGACCAATAGGAGCACCGTCGGATCGTCGTGTCATCGGATTTCGGATGCATGAGACTCCGGCTTTAAGCAATTTTTAAACGTTAGAGGTTATTTAGAAAGAGCGCTTGGTGTAATTGGTCGCGTTCATCAAGACGTAGCGCTACCAAAACCAAACTAATAAAAAAAGACCTAAAATAGGGAAGAATTAGGACATAACCCCAAAAGTTATGTCAAATCATCGAGCTTGACATTTGAAAAATTATTTTCACATTTTGACACAATCATATTTCACAGATGACACAATCTGTTTGACAATTTGAAATTGGCGCGCAGAGCTTGCCGACCAATGGTGCCGTTTATCACCTGTGACGTAGTGACCAACCTGCGCAATATCATACCTTGTATTCTTTGTATCATGTTATTAGCGGGTGTTGCGTTAAAAATTGACTCGCGCATATCGTAACCATGATAAGGTACACGTAAATACTGGATGACGCTATTCGGTTTTCCCATATCTCTCTAATAACTGTGCCGGTCAGGCGCTGTGCACAATTTTAGAGGCCATAAGTGGGCGTGCTATGTGCGCAAACTAGTCACCTAACTAGTGCCCGATTCCGAAAATTGGAACCACGAAAAACAATAAAGAAAAAACAAAGATTATAATCTGTGCTGGTATCTGCTGTAACTGATTATCGACGCTCGACCTCGGCGGCGACGTAACTTCGCTCCAGCCGTCGCACTCAGAAGATAGAGGTAATTGGTCCCTGCTGTAACTGGCTATCGACACTCGACCTCGGCGGCGACCTACTTCGTTCCAGCAGTCGCTGGAGCGCTTCTGGGGTTCCGGTTTTGCCGGTCGCGATTTGGTCGGTTACTATTGGCGTTGGTGCTCCCGTCGCTACGTGTACTAGTGTAGTACGAAGTACGTGTACTAGTGTACTGAGTCTAGTGTGAGCAGTCGGAGCAAACACACCTCTGAGGATGCTAGCCACTCGTGCTAGCGAAACGTTAGGAAGCAATTCTAACCGACGACGGCCTAATATCCCGAAAAACCAAATTTCTTCAAACGATGGCCGCGAAAGCCTAAACTACTACAATTTTATCTAATATTTCATAAAATAGCATTTATTAATAACTATGGAGGGCTTAAAAAAGGAGATTTATCGGCAATGGGCAAATTTGAAATTTCTGTCCCCACTTTTAAGCAGCTTCCTCGGTTTGACAGCAGAGGCACTGCGATCGACTGGGATACTACATTTTCATTGTTAGTATACGATTTAATTGTGTTTTTAATAAAATTTATAGTTAATTTCGAACAAGCCCGAAAAATGTTTCCCAGTTGCTTTAAACGTTTTTTGAATTTTCATATAAAAGTTTTAAATGCTACGTATAATGAATCATATGAAATATCCCCTTAACGAAATGTGATATATCTCCTTCTAGAATATCCGGAATATCCCCTTAACATCTAAGCCTACCAAGCCTCCACGACATATCCACGACTTTATGCGAAGGCGACCGGCAGTGTTCCCAACTCTCAAAAATTTATCTCCCTAAAAATCTAAAACGCTCGCATCAAAAATCCCCAAAATATCCCTAAAAACCTAAAAAATATCCCGAAAAAAACCCTAAAAATATAAATAATAATAAATAATCAATTTGTTGTGTTTTAAGTGGTTGACCTTGAAACGTCTGATCACAGCAATGTAGCCAACTGTTCGAAACTTTCCATTAAAGCAATACCAAACTTTCTTAAATCAACTAACATCCCCACAACTGTTATCCAAGATTCAGTGATTAAAATAAATAAATTATGGTAAAGGTGTGGATCCGGTGGCTGACCTTGAAGCCCATATTTGCTGCTTTTGATCATCGATACTACGCAAACGCACATCGTCGATGTTGCCAAATTGCAGTTTATTTTCGAATTATTTACAGTTGAATTTTTTTTTTGCGTGTTAATCAATAATAATACAAATTCTATAATTAATTTTATAATTTCAGATTTATCTTGATATCCAAAATTAAGGTAAGAAGAATAATGAAGATTGTGAAATGAAAGTATTATGAATATATAAAATTGTAATAATAATAACATTTATTTATATATTTACATTAGAATTAAAATTTATCATTTACGGATTTTTTTATCATTTACGGATTTTTTCTTAATGGTTTTAAACTTATTAGAATTATTTTATTTCTTTTCATTAAAAGTTATTTAATTTCTAGTTATTTACAGGCAACAATAGTTTTGATTATATGTATTGATGTTTTGAAGTACTACCATGACGGGTCTTATTATAGAACAATAAACGTCAATCGGAGATAGAGGTAACATTTTACCTATTATATAATGTTACTAATATAATATACTTTGATTATAATTAATGTTTTTATCATAATTTCTTAAAAATATCAAGTTAGTGGATTTTATCGAAGAGTGTGTTGATAAGCAGTGGCGGATACAGGGGGAGGGCCCATGGGGCCCAGGCCCCCAAAAGTCTGTGAATTGTGTAAAATATTAGGCTTTTTGTTAAAAATGGCGCCCTAAAAACCATATTCTACATTGCTTTTCATTTTGGGCCCCCCTAAAATAAATTCCTGTATCCGCCCCTGTTGATAAGACTAAAATAAGCTTTATGTTTTATCTTTTTCTCTTTAGAAGGGAGATGGCTTGTATCGTAAAATACATT